ATGATTAAAGAAGGAGGGCTCTTAAATCATCACATGTGTCAATAGGTGTTCCTTTCATGGGGTCTTCCTATTCAAAGCCACTTCAACGACCTCTCCTTTTTAGGGGTCATCAGCTTCTTCAGCAGTCTCTCCTTTTCGGGGGATCATCAACTTCTTCAGCGGTCTCTCCTTTTCAAGGAGTCATCCTTTTTAAAGGCACTTCTTCAGTGGCATCTCCCTTTCAGGGGATCATTTGCTTCGTCAGCGGCCTCCCCTTTTAAGGGGGTCATCCGCTTCTTTAGTAGCCTCCCCATTTCAGGGGGTCATCATTTTTAAAGTCACTTCTTCAGTGGCCTTCCCCTTTCAGGGGATCATCCGCTTCTTCAGCGGCCTCCCCTTTTCGGGGGTCATCATTTTTAAAGTCACCTCTTCAGTGGTCTCCCTCTTTTAGGGGATCATCCGTTTCTTCAGCGGCCTTCCATTTTCAGGGGGTCATCCTATTTAAAGCCACTTCTTCAGCGGTCAGGGGGTCATCCGCTTCTTCAGCGGCCTCCCCTTTTCAGGGGGTCATCCACTTTTTCAGCGGCTTCCCCTTTTCAAGGTTTTATCCTTTTTAAAGTCACTTCTTCAGTGGCCTCTCCATTTCAGGGGATCATCCGCTTCGTCAGCGGCCTCCCCTTTTCAGGGGGTCATCCACTTCTTTAGTAGCCTCCCTTTTTCAGGGGGTCATCCTTTTTACAGCCATTTCTTTAGTGGCCTCCCTTTTTCAGGGGTCATCCGCTTTTTAGTCGTTTCTTTAGTGGGCTCTCATTTTCAGGGGGTCATCTTATTTAAAGCAACTTCTTCTCAATTCACTTCCAACTGGCTTTTTCCCACGGGACTCTCGCAGTTAAGTGTATGGATTCCTACAGATATCGCCAATCTGTTGACCCTTGAAAATGAGCCAACAGGTGTCGGGCCCACTCACACCAAGTCAAGTACGATTCCGGTGCGTTCCTACCGGAATGATAACGGTAGCACGAAGAAGATGGACGCGGGAAGTACTTTGCGGCGAGAGATAAAAGTGTTCAAACTCCGATGGGTGGAACAAAAGCAATCGCGCTAACAACAATCACCCGGTCGAAAGTAAACTAATCTATGTAATAACAAACAAGAATATGTAGAAGGATAGATGAAATGTTCATATATTTTTTTCAAATTGTATATTTCGAATATATGATTGTTCATTTTTCCATAAATGATCCAACCTCTCTATTTTTAATTACAAAGAGCATCTATTTATACTGCATTGGCCGACGTGGTGACCGTTGGATCGGAACCACGTGACCTCATCTCCTTAACTAAGGCTTCACATCTACTCATACAATTAATACATTGATAAATGGTCAGCCGCCCTATACAATATGCTGACATACTGACAAACTTTATTACATGTATTACATCAATCACTTCTAATAGATCTTCAAATCTATTACAACAGACATCATCGGTTTCATGAGTTTCGGACGAGTTTGAGAGCCTCGGAGAGATCTTTTGAGGTGGTTCTCTAAATGGAGAGCTTCAACTCCTTTCTTTGCTTCTTTATGCTGTGCGTCAGCAAGCAATTCGGCTTGTAGAGCAAGGACTTCGATTTGTAGAGCAAGGACTTCGATTTTTGACCTCATGGGTCTTTGTTTGATTCTTTTGTTGACTCTCTGCCTACATGACTTGTCACGAGGCACTTTTTCTTTGAGTCTCGGAGGCGAGGCGTAACAGACCATATATTTTAATTAATAGAAAATTGAGAATAAGAATAAGATCAATAAAATTGAGAAATATAAATATGACGTCAATAAAACTTAAGGGGCATTTATAAAAAAATATATATTATAATTCCTAAACAAAAAGGTCATCATCGCAATTATTATACAAAAACTAGGAGGGTTGTTTTGTTATTTATAAACTCTTGGAGTAGTTAAATGAAATTTCTCTGGACTATATAAACATACAAGCCCCATCCCCTTCAGCAAACCCTAATTCTCTTCATCCGTTGTGTTCCTCAAATCTCTTCACCCTCCGCCTCCGAGACACCACCAACCAAGCAAGAAAATGGGTCGTGTCCGCACAAAGACAGTGAAGAAGTCCTCCCGCCAGGTCATCGAGCGATACTACTCCAAGATGACACTCGATTTTCACACCAACAAGAAGGTCTTGGAGGAGGTGGCCATCATCCCCTCGAAGCGCCTCCGCAACAAGATTGCCGGGTTCTCGACCCATCTCATGAAGCGGATCCAGAAGGGACCCGTTCGTGGAATCTCCCTGAAGCTGCAGGAGGAGGAGCGCGAGCGTCGCATGGACTTTGTTCCGGACGAATCCGCCATCAAGACCGATCGCATTGAGGTTGATCAGGAGACTGTTGATTTGTTGGAGGCTCTTGGAATGAAGGATCTTCCTGGGGTTGTTCTCAGGGAGGACCAGGGCCCGATTAACGTGGCTCCGGCAATGACATACGGCCGCGGCGGTGGTAGGCGGTACTAAGATATATCGATGAAACGGTTTGAATTGGAGGTTTTTGGGTTAATGTGAGTCGTTGGATGCTTTTTTAGTAATGGGATATTGTTAGTTTTTCTCGAAGTGTTTTGTTATGTTTCGACACTTTTGGATTATGCATTTTTGAGAATTTGTGACTGTTTCTACATTATCGTCTTTTATGATAATCTTATTGCTCTTCGTAATTTGAATGTTGATAAAGTTTGGAATTTTATGGATTTCTAGTCGGGGTTCAATAAATGTGGCTTTTCAGTGTAACCAGTGAACTAAGCAAAGCTTAGAGGGCTCTTAGTACTGTTGGATTTAGCTTTTACATAGGTGGTAGGAAATTTTAATTTTTTCTTTGCTGTCTCTTTTGAATTCTTAGGTTGTGAAATGCCTTCAATCTGGTTTCTAAGTATTGGAATTGCCTAAGCATTTGGATATGTTTGGTATGATCTTACTGAGCAGGATTGGAACTTGCAAGAGACGAGATTTTAGCCTCTTTTTTTCTTTATTAATATTGCTGAGTGCTACATAGACATTACTAGAACCAACCATTAATTTCTTATTTTCCATCCGGTGTTACTATGCATAATTGTGTGTTTGTTTTACCTCCTGGGAGCCATCTCTTTTGCTTTCTTTAGGCTTATAAATATTTGGTTATAATTTATTTGATTCGTTGTCTCGTAAGTTTCATTTTATCCTTTGGAAAAGGATTGAACATAGCTTGTCTAATGAATTTGAGTGCATCAATCTCTTCGCGGGATTGGTCATTCAGATACTAAGCTTTTGGTTGCAAAAGTGTAAGTGTGCAGGCTGATGTCTAGAAATGGATTAGCCTTGCCAAAATGCTGGTGTTTTGACATATTCTGAGGTTAAGGAGCCTTTGATTGGTCTTTATTACTTCAGTGTTGAATTTGCAACCTTATTAATTTTGGTTATAACTTCATTGAATCTTGCAACCTTCCAATTTAACTTCATTGAAGCGTGCAACCTTCCAATTTAATTGGGTTGTATGATTTATGAAATTGATGTTCTGTTCGTAGTCAAGGGCTTCTCACTAGCATCGTGTAAAATATAATACCCTGATTTAAGTTTTAACTTGTGTAATGATTCTTGTGTTTTCTGATCCTTCACTTTCAGTCATAAAATTCTGCACTAAGGTGAACATATTGGGATGGAGGGGGTACGGGAGACGATGTGCACAACTTGAAAGAGACTCTCGTGCATGCTACTGGCAAATAGTAATAAATAATTAGTTGGTCAGTTAGCTTAGTCGAGATTTGGAGATCTTGAACCTGTGTTATGAACCATTCCCCCAGTGTCATGCGGGAAAACCCATAAACTAGATGCTAAAATGAAATTAGTAAAAAGGGTCCATTTCCCCAGCTTCAGCCCTGCAAGTTCTATCAAGATGAGGGAAAAAAGAGAATTAAAGTTTTGTTTCAGATTGCACCCTGAATGTTTAATGTCCTGGGATGGCTAATAATAATCAGAATGCTGAACTAGAAACTCACCCATGTGAACAGAAGTAGATATAAGAAAGGAATCATCAAAATTCTAAATTTTCCGACACAATGTTCACTGGCTATACATTAAATTGTTCAGGGAAAACATCCATGAACTGACATAGATAGTGTTTTCATTGGACCCTATAATTCATGAGGCTTGAGACTTTTTTTTTCCTTTTATCTATAAGCTCGTCAGCTTTTCAAATATAAAACGTTTATTTCCTTCCTTTATAACCGAAAACAAAGAATTCATTCAATCAAATCTGCACTAACCGTGGTGCAATGGAACACCATGAAACCAACTCATCTTCCTTGGCATAATGGACCACCCCTATATTACCTCATCTAAGAATAAAATGACAAAAGACAACTCACATCCCGACACAACGCTACCATATCCAACAAAATAACAGAGCTAGAATCAATGAAGGCGAGACAAAAGCCACCAGTCACACTCGGCCTTTCAAACTGGAAGCCATTATGGCGTATATAACCTCTTGACTTTGAGGATATTACAACAGCAAAAACATGGAGTCAAAGAAAACCCGTGAAAAAGGCTTCAATTCCACAATGTTACTAATTATCTGGTCGTGTCTACAAATAACAAGTCATGAATAAATTTCAGGATTTATTTAGAAATTGTACTGTCTTTGTTGAGCACACAACAATCTCGTACAGGTGAACCGGAGAGTGACTAGGATGCACCAATGCCAAGTAGCAGTTACTGAGATATTCATTTCTGCGGTTTGACTATCCAGTTACACAAATACAACTGCCGTGCGCAAGGAGAAAGGGGGCAGAGACATACACTCCGTATATTCACACTACTCGCTTGAATTTGCAAGCCCAACCATGTTAAGCATATGGCGATCCTCCTTAAATCTTTCCAGCACTGTACCTTTTATAACCTCTGGCCTATCCTTTTCAACTTTATGTGGCACAACCCCCCAGCATTCAATTACTTCTGGGTATATTTGGTGGGTTTTCGATAGGCAGGGACTTCCGAAGGTGGTGCACACAAACGTGTGCCCTTGATCAAAGTTTGCTGAAAGGAACAAACCAAAATGATTTACTTTACCTCCAAAACCGATGCCATTTGGAATGCTCTCTGAACTGAAATTCACAGCACACTGCCAATAAAAAGATTTTGTAATGGCATAAAAATATTATATATAATATCAATGTGTATGATAACAACAACTTGCAAAAGCATACGACACACATTTAAATTTTATCATGCATTTACATTTCAAAATAATTATCTAGTTTTTACTTGGAATGATACTTCAGGTTTGATAATTTTGTCTCTGCGATCACCCTACACTAAAAAATCAGTCTCTAACATTGCTAGGACACCACCTTGAAAATCATCAATAAGTACCATCAGGTTGTACTCGAATATACTTCCAAGGTGGCCCCACCGCCATTGATACAAAACCCATTATAATAAGGAAAAGGAAAGTGTTGGGGCCACCACTGTGAGCCTCCCTATTCAGATGGCCAACACCATCATGTCAAAACATCCCAAGCAAATATATAATTTTCAAAGTAACAGCTGCATAGTTGGCCTAAAGGACCTAAGAGACTCGTCAAACTCAATGGCCTCATTTTGACCAAAAAATAGAAATCTTTCCAATTGGCAGGTGAGTTGGATTCTCTGGCATAAATTCGAGCAAATATCTGTAAAACTACGAAAGAAGAGAGTTAGAGATATGTTGGATAAGAAGGTGGTGGTGCCATGATGGCTTTGCCAATTTGTTTTCATCGTGTCGTTGGCAGTAGTGGCAACAGGTTTTGGGCAGGAGCTTTGGAAGTGGTGAATTGTGATGCTTATGGTGGTTGTCATCAGTTGAGAGGAGTGGCAAGGTGGCGGTAGATGAATGAGAGAGAAATCAAGAAGAAAGAGAAGAAAGAAAAGCTCTGCAACTTAAGAGGGAGGATGGGAAAGGAGATGCAAAAGAGAAAAAGTTTGTAGTCAAAGATAACAACAGAAGGTTGAAAGTGCGTGTTTTAAAAAAGTGAGGATTCTTTTGCAAATTGCGACAGCCAAAAAGGAAAGGAAGTGAAAGAGCAACAAGTCATGTTGGGCCAGGCCAATCTTGACCTTTAAAGGATTGTGGGAGGACAATGTCCAAAAGACATGGCATTACTTGCTGACTCACTCATTAAAATAACATTTCCACTTTGAGCACTTGCATAATTCTCAGCAAATGCTGAACCTACGGATTTCCATGAACGACTACTCATGTCATGTGAGATGAGCACGTTTCCTGCCTTTCCTGCAGTGGCTATCACTTCTGTGCGACATTTGATTCTATTGAATAAGAGACAGTAGTCTTTGTAACTATGATTTCAAGAGGAATTTATTTGACTTCAATGGATCTGCTCTGCACAGTAACATTAAATGAGGTTATAGGTTATAGGTTAACTGCACAGAATTTCAATATTTAGGTTCCAGTGAAGACCTAAATCTTTCTATCAGAGTGAGGATTTACCTCAAACACTCCTAGAAAATTCCACCACTGACTTAGTTTCTCACTGCATTATCACTTCCCGGTATTCGTCTCACTTCAGATAGAGCGTCCAAGCCTCCATACGCAAAAACACCCCCTATTTCAAAATTTCCATACCGAAGAAAGTGTTGTGGATCCTTTCAGTACTGCAAACTGATAATATTAACTGCACTCACGCTAAACTCATCATCTTCCACAGGAGACCTCACTCCTGATAAATTTAGGGTCATTGCATTTGTACAGAATAGACTTAAGCTCACTCACCCCTTCAGCAAAAGTATAATGGCCTTATGCTTAGACTTCCCGTAATACATGATCTGTTACTTTGACAGCATTCAAAATTCAAGCGTTGTCAGTTCCAACAATTACTGTGCTTGGGTGATTGTCTATAGTCAACATTTCAAACCTTTTTATAGGCATTTTGAAAAGAATCAGCACAAAATAACACGTGCTTAACGACAAATTTGGTGAACTTTATGATTCACATCCACTTCTATTTATTTTTTTCTGCTGTCTGTAATGATTAATTCTAATAGAGTATATTGCATCTCTGGTGCTATTTGAATCATTCTATAGCTTGGCTCGTCCAAGGCCAGTACTCAAATCCAAAAATTGCAGAAAACAGGCTTACCCTCGAAAGATGATAAGTTAGCAATCCTAACCCAGTTTCTCAACCTAAAAGCTAACTCGTAAATGACAGCACTGTCTACCCACTGTTATTCGAGTCATTTAAAATAGGGTAAATGTTTTATGGACCCTTGTATAGATACGTGTGTCCAGTAAGGGTCATTAAAAAAAGAGATGCAGTGTTTGGCAGCAAAGTGAACCAGATGGTCATGGCAATGGAATCTAGGAAGGAGGACCTTGATCTTTTCTCAGGCACTCCTTGGGTCCTTGTACTACCAAAGATGACATTATGAAGGACACTCTACGACGAGAACTATTCAAATACTTACCCATTGTAAGTTGTGGTTTGCTCCAGTAGGCCGGAAAATTGATGCTTTTGGGAATAGCTGAAAAAGAAAAGATTTCATATCGCCATAAAAATCTGCATGCCTGTCCCAAGGCTGAGAAGCATAGCCTCCATACACGTAACCTTCTTTATCTTTAATAAGCAACACAGTACGCCCTTCATCATTTCTGCAGTTTAACAGAACGGTTACCCATCCCAACTTTAATTAAAAGATAATAAGCAGCACCCTAAAACTGAGATTGAAATAGAAAGTCTTTAGCATTCACAGCTATTCAAACAACTACAGAAATGAGACAAACAGCGATAGTAATATCTTTAAGTGTCTCAACAACACTGATTAGCTTACAATTATGATAACACACACCTTTGGTTTGAATGCTCTAATTTCGTTGCCAATAAAACTTATGGATGTACTACTACCTTCACAAATTCAAGAAGCATAATTACATCACACCAGTGTTTTCTTCTTCAGAAACCATAAAACTGTTACATTGGGTGTTAGGAACCAATCAAATCTAAAAGTGCATAATGGATGGGATACGGAGAAGGTCTCGTGATATGACCTTTTTGTCCTTGGGAATTTTCATGCATGGATCTTTATATGCCCATAACTAATCATTATATAACTGATTATCAATACGGTTACATTTAACACATGTATTTGCATTCACATATCTGCACACGTTTGAAGAGTCATGTGGGTAATACACAACTTATGAGAAATATTAAAAAATCATAATTCAATTGTCTCCTAAAGGGGGACAAAATTTCAAAAAGAAGTGACTCACTGTATGTTGCCCAAGAATGTGTTGAAACTTTGTCCGTGAACAGAACTATGGTACAAAAGTTTCCACTCATCCAGTTCATGTTGGGGTAGCGCTCCTCCAATATGCCAAGCATATTCCTTTCTCAACAATATTAAACTAGGGTGTATATTGTCCTGATGCAATAGTTGAGGAATTTGAGAACCTACAAAAAAGAGAGAACAATTTAGAAAACCTCATTTACACTTTGGCTCCACTTTATGGAGGAAGACAGAAGTGCATGGCAGGTGCAGTGTCACTAACAGCTGCCCATGTCAGTTATATAGTTCTAAATATATTTAACAAAAAATCTAAATGTTTTTGTTAACCATCTTAATTAAAAACTTTTGGATGAGATGGTAAATGTGCTACGAGAACCAGAATGGTTCAAGTCTTGCCATCACTCATTTATAAAATTGTGCAAATGCCATACCTTTGATAAAAAATTGGACCCAGACTTCACGTGGGGAGCATGTTGAAAACAAGATTTAAATGAATAAATGTGGCATTTCTTTAACAACTTAAACTTTTAGATGAAATGGTCAACTGATATAGGATCACTCTTGAGCACAAGGGCACTGACTCATCTGCTGGCGTGAAAAAACATACGACTGAACAGAAAAAATTTCAAACTACCCACTAAGAACAATTGGGTTCTATCCCATCTTAAGCAAGAAATAGATGTACTCCAGATTTCAGTTAAACCTATATTCGTAGGAAACAATTACTTAATTTCTTCCAACTCCCCTGCTACTGTGTCTCTTGCGTGTATTAAAAACAGAATAAACAAAAAATTTGGACCTACTGCAGATTTCCACTAGTATGGTAAATATTTGGAAGTGTGATCAGTTTTATCATAAAATGTCACAGATCCACATGATTAAGATGGCAAAGAATTCTAATATATGACTACAACGTATTTTCAATGTTGAGATTACAGTTTGAAACCTATCCCCTTCGATAAAATCCTCATTGTCTCTGTCAAGTAGAAGCTTATAAAATTGCCAAATTTGGTGCCTCAAACAGGGACGAGACCCAAGAAATATACACGACCAAATCGGAAACGAAGAAATTCTGATTTAGTAATAGACAGTAGATATCAATCTTCTGCACATTTCTTTCTTTCTTTCTTTCTTATAAGGTGTTGCAGGAGGGAGGAGGAACAATGGATTTGAACCTATTGAGCTACATGTGTTTTATCTTTTTTCGACTAAGATTAATGTGATATTTCTGATACATCATATATTCACTTGTTTTGCATGAATGTACGATGTATAAAAAAATAAACATATTGTGTTTTATGCAAAGGTTGTTATGATTTATACTTCTAGCAGTTTATGTATGATTCCAACCCGAAAATATGCATCAAGCTTTGTGCTAATATTCTTAACAGTTAACCTATCATGTATGTACCGAATATAAGAATTTATGTTTAAAAGTTTATAAGTTCATTTTTATGCCAAAAGAATGATATGCCTCCGAAATTTTAGATTGCATTTAAATTTAGAGATTTGGTCAATTTTGATAATTACTTAAGAAAGTATACATGTACAAATTATCTAATTGTGAGATATCCTGAATAGTCCAATTATATTTACTAGCACGGAATTATTCTATAAAAGAGAAAACTGAAAAATGTTGGGAGGCTAAATTGGAAACCTGGATCAGATGGAATCATCAAACTGCCAAGAAACTTTCTGACCGATGGAAGAAGGGAACACCATTTTCGGAAATCTTCAAAAGACATATTACTTTCTGCACCATCTTTTGTAAAAGTTGCAGCATTGATAAAAATATCAACAATTTCATCACGTGAGTCTCCCTTGGACTTGGAGTATTCTTGATGAAATAGATTACCGAGCATTGCAGTTAAAACAGCTTCTAGACCAGACCTGTAGTTGATCAAAGTTCAAATTAATTGTTGAAACAGAGGGTACAACAACGAATGGGAGCAATTCTTCAATATGAAATCTGCCAATTCCACCTTCCCACAATGCCATCGCCATTGATATCTAGTAGTTGGTATACGAACTCTTCAATGTCATCATTTGTTCCTTTCTCATAGGTCCCCTATAATATGAAGAGAATAGCGTAAAGATTAGATTCAGCTTCCCCATTAAACATATATTTTACCAAACATAGGTAAATAAACTTTCTAAAAACTCAGGTCACAAACAGTATGTCATTGTTATCTTAAAAATGACAAAAAAAAAAAAAAAAAAACTAATAAAATGAGAAATGTATGTATATAGAAAGCTGGGTCAAGATTTGCAGCACCATGAAAGAATTACATTTACTACACCTTCTGGTTGGGTAGGGTAGTGGTGGGGATTATGTCTCGAACTTCTGAAATCATACAATTAAAAACCCTAAAGGCTCAAGCATTAAAACTAAGTTTACTGAACTTGAGTTTTTATCTCTCTGGTAAAATTATTTTCCCGAGTTCCATGACTCGAATCTCACAGCAATGAAACATCTCCTTGTTCTTTGGTGTAATTTGATAACAAGTCATACATAATAATTAATATAGCATGACATATCATCTCTCTCATCCAATCCTGCACGGATGTTCTCTGCACGAGGAGTCTCATCCAATCAATATCCTCTCTCCCAACAGCATCAAAAAACAGTTTTTTCTTTACAATTTATCCAATTGAAATTCCGCAAAAATTCTATGTGCCTAAGGTATCTGACCTTTGTAACACATATAAGCGTCTGCTTCTTTCTTTAATGTGTACTGGAGATAATAGATCTAATTTAGGCTGAAAACAGATGACGTGTTTGCCAAATTTGTTTTGGCTTTCAAAACCCAAAAATCACCATCAAAGTTAAGCTGGCCTACAGGGATTCAAGATTTGATATCTCACATCGTTTAAGTGAATTATAAAACACTGTTACCGACAGGAAATATTATCTGAGAAATACTCTTCCATTTTTCTTTCATATTATTTCTTGCAAAGACATTTTCAAGTACTGCATGTCTCAAAAATGCTGAATTTTCCCTTCTGATTTTCCATTATATGGGACCGTAGTCATTGTCTAGGATGGAATGATGGATAAACTAAACACAGAGCAACGTAAGAATAAAGTCTTAATTCTCAAACTCTTAAGATTCAACATTTCTCAGTAATGTCAGCAATGCACCCACCTTTAGATACTCTTCTATTCTAAGTTACAAAAGTCTTGCTCCTATCTTTACTATTCATAAAACATCTAGAAAAATACTAACACGTTGACATAACTTGTCATGGGAAAAGATTCCACAGAAAAGATTGTTTGTGTTGCCTAGATATTGAAATTATTCCAGCAAGTAATTTAATGTTAAATACTACCCTAAAAAAATAACACTCAGTTAAATGTTAAAATTACACACTCAACATATGAGAAGATTCGACAAATACTCAATATGGTGCTTCAGAAATTAATAGTAAAAAAATGTGGAATTAAATTTCTTGACTATGATCTCATCATAAGACTTGGGCGAAACCACTAGCATAGCAACTTCTTGCAGTCTAAATTGCCAAAATGCTTAGGCCGCGTTGCAAAACAGCATTCCTGCCCAAAGTTCTTATAAACAATTCCTGAATCTTCTGTGGAATAGGTTACAGTTAAAAGCAAAACAGCAGTGTAAAGTCGTGGCTAGAGCTGTAGCTTACTTTGGCAATAACGAGGTCCTCAAAAGTGAGTTTTTGATCCTTGCGTTTCTGCGTCATCAAATCGAACATCCGATCCCCAAGAGGCCCGTCAATTCCAATATACGCCTATAAACACATATTCAGACATAAAAACAGGACTCATATACAGCCCACCTAAATTATCCGACGAAATTAAGATTGGTCACGATTAAGGAATCAAAAGAGAATAATGGGACCTTGAAAACGGGGAGAGTCACATATTTTCCGTCGGTTTGAGACTGGGCTGCGAGTGATGTGAAGAGTGATCTCAGGTCTTCCAATTCGTTCAGAGAGAACGCTCTGCAATTAATTCCAGGGAGCGTTTAACATGCATGTTCTGCAAGTATTTCTAGTAGAAACTGGAAAACAGACCTGCTGGCGGAAGCAAAGCGAGGATTCGTGGAAGATGATTCAGAGTTGCCCATTGATTGATCGTTTTCCCGTTTTCTGGGTAACTTTCTTTTTTCCCTTCAGATTTCTCTCCTTTCCTGCTAAGCTATTTACAGTTAAAGTCCTCAAAGTATTGCAATAATTCTTTTAAAGACCTTTTACTTTTCTTGGTTCACAAAAATTGTTGATTCAAGAATTGACATAAGTGAGTTCAATCCCCCGTGTCAAACCTTGCTTCATACTCATTTTTTATCACACATTCGCACAATAAAATATTTTACATATAAATATAATTTTTTTCTACTTTTTAGCTATACATTCGTCTAAAAATTACTATTCAAAACATTATTTTTCTAAAATAATGGATGTCAAACAAGAGTTTAGTACTACTAATATTTTAACACTAATTTAGATAACATCATTAATGACATTAAATTACATATTCAATTAAATAAATTATATAATGTCGCGTAGACTAGTGTTAGATATCATTCTTCTAAAGTAAATATGCCGTTGCGTGAACCCCATTTTCTCATCAAAACGTATTATTGAACAGGAATTTGAACATTTTTTTTCAATAAAATAATATTATACGTAAATTGAAAACTTTTCATTATTTTTTAATCACACATTCTCTATCATAACACTATTATAAAATACATTTTTTGAGAAAAAAATGGAGCTCAAACAAGGGTAATGTCTAAATTTCATTACACATTTCTAAAATTCATTTCAATTACACCTTTTTTATAAATTCTCAAATTTTATGAACTTTTCAACTATATATTTCATCATTTTTTGTTAAATTATCCTAATAATTCGATTTTTAACTAAATCAAACGCAGATTTAATTTTTATTTTGCTAATTTATTAATTTGAGCTTGTTCAAAATTACTTTTCTCGAAAATTGTTTAAAAAAACACATTCTTTAAATAAAATAATATTATACAAGAAATCATGACATTTTTCATACATTTTAACATATCCTCCAAAATAATCACTTTTCCCAAAGTCATTATTTGAGCTCCATTTTTTAAAAATAAAATTTTTAAAAGGTGATTTTTTAAGAAGTGTATGGTTAAAAAGTAGGAAAAAATTTTAAATTTACGTGTAAATTTATTTTATTAGAAGAATTTATAATTGAAAATGACTTGAGGAGGATGAGTTTTAAATAATGAAGCTCAAATAATGGCAAATCCACTCCTCAAAAAATAAAAATCACACAAAGGCTAAGTTTGACGAAGAAAGTTAGTTTTACTTTTACCTGAAATATTATATCTTGCTAAATTTAGTGCCTGCTCGAGCCTTATTATTATTATTATTTTAAAAAATCATTTTTGTCAAATTCTTTTTCCAGTCAAATATTCTTTTCAAAACTTTTTTCTACTTTTTAGCCATATATTCTTTAAAAAAAATACTATTATAAAATCTATTCGTAGCCCGAATAGAGACTTAACTTCTGTAAATTCTATGCATTATCCATAAAGCATTGACAACTTCATTTCATTTTCTCTTGCGGTAGGAAGATTCCTTGAAAAATATGTGTTCCCTCATTGCAAAGATTAGATAATACAGAGAAATTCCGTAGGAGAAAATAACACAGTTGGATTTGAAGGGTTTTAGAGATTTTCGTAGAGGGTTTTGATTGAAATTCTTTATCTCCTGCATTTTCAACCTTAATTTTTTACGATTCTCGAATTTTTCCAGGGGAAGAATGCATAACTCGTGTGTTAACTATACCCCAATTCAATTTTAAGAAAAAATATTTAAAAATTCAAAATTCTGGTGGTAATTAATATATTACGTGTAAATTGTTACTTTGACGTTGATCTAATAGCGTGTGATCAGTTCTCTTGAATATGTGATCTTTGGAAATTGATCTGTTACTCGTGATCTTGATCCAATGGCATGTGACTAATTTTCTTGGATATGTGAATAATAGACATTGATAAATTATTTATGCAAAGTGACCCATGATATTAGTGCACATAGATGTGTGATGTTGTTATGTGACCAGTTAATATTAATCTGTGACTCGTTGACATTGATCTGTGACCTTTACAATATGACATGTGACTTGTGAATATAAATTAGTGACATGTAACCAATTTTAATTGATATGTGACCTGTGGATATTGATATGTGATCTGTGAACAAATTGCTTCTTACCACAACCTCACCGGCACCGGCACCACAATGTGCAAACCACCAATAACCACCTCTACCACCAACACTCCACCACAACAAAACTAGCAATACAAAACGTTCCCCTCTACACACCAAATGGTCCTTCTTGACTTAGCTATAGTTGTGTGAGGCACCACAATGTGCAAACTATCAACAACTACCTCCACCACCAACGCTTCACCACAACAAAGCCACAAAACATGCAACACAAAACGTAACCCCCAACATCGTCTGCTCAGTTTTGACAACCCTATTTAGGTCACCAATTCAGATCGGCAAAGCCAGTTCAAAATGGGTAGCAGCTAAGGTTTGCCGTTGTAGCAACCACTAAGCGTCAATATGCGCAGTGTTCTATGGGTTCAGTTTACCGTCGATGTACTGCATAGCAACGTTATGAACTCGACGAACTGCACAACGCCTCTATTGCATGGCAACAGTGACCTACGTAGTGCTCACACCGACGGCGTCGTCGTCGTAAACTCCGTGAAGAAAACAATGAGTTCGGTGGTAGGCATCAGAGGGTAGAGTGACAGATGAGAGAGAATAATTTTAATTTTGATTAAACACCTGATTTATAGTTAAGTAAACCTTACACCCTATTTTTGAATTGTCATCTTTAAAAACAGGCGGGTGCACTTTTTCTAGTTGTGTTCTCGTTCAACATTCTTCATAAGAAAACCGTCTTTTTTCTCTACAAGGGCCCATCTACGATATTGGGCCTAATAAACCCTTAATTACAGGTGTCAAGTAGGCCAGGTCAGACCAATCCAAAACTGCTAGGCTTGCCGAATGAAAGCCCTGATCAGTAATCGGCCCAAGCTAGATTAGGCCAGTCTATGGCTGGGTGTCATTAACTGGTGGTCCAGTTCGGCCAGTGGTTACCAGTTGATCCCATATACAATTAAAAACAATTTTAGCCCATGTTTAATAGAAATTAAAATCTAGATTTTTATCAAAGTTATAGTAAAAAAAAAAATTTTTTAACTATTATGTCATGGGACCCATAACTTCTTAACTAGACATTTCATAACTTTTATCAAAATCTGATAAAAAATTGATGTTAATCTACACTAAAACTAAACGGGGGCTAATAAACTTCTCAAATTTACTGCTGGTCCCATATGCAATTTTCTTTTATAAAGCTTAGCAGACCTCTAAATCTTGTTGTGTTTCAGTTTAATTCTTCTTTGAAACAAGGTGAGCTTAATTTCTACTTATTCAAGTCTCGAATCAAGTTAGAATTTGGACAGAATCGAGCAAATCAAGAAGACGGTTCCCATTTAAAAAGTTACCGGTTCAATCCAAGATCGAATCGATAACCGAGGCAGGCCGTTCCTAAACGCCTACAAGCCTTGCTGGCTGGTTCTGTCATGTGCTTTAACATAAAATAAAATAATCATATAGCGAACTTATTATAGAATGACCCAATGTAAAAGTTTAGTATACACATCTTGAAATGATAGGTTAATGTAGTTACGGTCAGATATTTATACAATAAATATAATATGTGAAAGAAATAATTAATTCAGATGAAGTGCCCAATTGATGAAAAGTGTGGAATTTGTGTGGGAGATCATGGGTTCGAGTCACACCTCATGCATTATATTAATTGGGACCATGGGGCATTGTGCTTAATTGATTTTAATAATAAATTATTATTTTTTACCATTTTCGAAATTGTTTAATGGGGTCAACTAGCCAGTAAAATATGATTGTTTTAACTGTTCATCATTAATAATCAATTACCACTAGCCATAAAATTTGTAAATAATACTGGATCATGGTGGAAGTAGTTACATAATTTTTCTGCCTATATGAACATACATCTGTGCATTAGAAAATCATGAAAAATACTAAATTGTATCTTTTTATTCAGTAAAATATGATACTCAATTTTACATATTTTTTGAGAGTACACTTGAAAGTTCTGAAAACCATTTGTGATTGCTACACATTTGGTTTATTTGATCGTTATATCCTGGAGGTGATTGTCCACAGCGGTCGCAGCAGTTATCGACGGGTAATTTCGCTTTAGGATATCGTGCTGTCACGAGACTCGATCAGTCGATAAATTTTATTTCTGCACTTTACTGTATTGCAACTAGTAATATTTCTAACAGTTACTACATTAACTTTATATGGCTTGTGCAAGTAATAATTTATATTTATTTTAGTTATATAAATTGATAATTTATTTATTCGTACTTAAAAGATCGCTTAATTGGTATGTTAGAGACATTCAATTTTTCTGATAATCGAATAATGGTACTAGCGATTTATTATTTACAAAATTGTTAATGCGAGACTTTTCACTTCTTATTTTCTATCCTTCGACAAAGTTCCCTAGCAATGCAAAATTGATGAAATCAAATAATGTTAGAAAGAGAGATTCGTAATATGGAAACGACTTGATTCAAGATTAAAAGTGAAAAATACATCTTGCAATAATTTTATTGATATTTTAGAGAGTAGAATTTTGTGAAATGCAAATTTTCCGGCAAGATTCAAATTCATTTGGACAGAAAATTCTTGATCGCCTTTGTGTAAGTTTGGTTGGTTGTACTGTAACCTCCATCAATCACAAGATTGACTCCACTCACAAACTTGGATTCATTGCTGCTCAAATACAGAGCCGCCTCCGCCACATCCTCCGCTGTCGGCACCACCCCTTTTAAATTCGAAGAAGCATAGAGTATTTCTTCCACAATACTCTTATCCACTCCCATTGCTTTTGTCAGCAGTGGTGTCGCAACCGCACCTGGTGATATGCAATTCACCCTTATCCCATACTGCCCTAATTCCACACACAAATTCTTCATCAACCCCACCACTGCGTGTTTCGACACTGCATAGGAATGAGGGGATTCGCCTGAAACAACAGAAGCATTGCTTGAAGTGAAGAGAATTACGCCAGTTTTCGCCGGAATCATGGCTCTGGCTGCATGTTTGGCTCCTAGATATGCACCAAAAACATTCACATCGAAAACCCTTTTGAAGTTTTCACTGTCTGAATCTACAATACTGAAATCTATGTTTCCAGGGATACCGGCATTGTTGAACATGATGTCTAGTTTTCCATGTTTGAGCAGTGTGAAATCAACAACGTTTTTGACATCGTTGTCAATTGTGACATCGCAATGGATATATGAAAAGTTTTCTGGTGATCCGAGCTCTTCACAAATGGACCGACCTGTTCAAGACAAGACATAAATAAATAAATTTTGTTATCCAATATACCAGATGCATAAGTTTTTAGCAGACCTTTATCATCTTGGACGTCAGCAATCACAACTTTCGCACCATGCTGGGCAAACGTTCTTGCACTGCTCTCTCCGAATCCGCTTGCTCCGCCTGTAATAATGGCAACTTTGCCTTCTAACCTGCATTTATAATATCATCATCAGAGTAGAAAAAAATTGTAGGCGTTAAGAAGCAAGATATTGGACCGCCATTTCTGATTTAATTAAGCTCTCCCTCTCTCTATAAACACACACACATACACACACACACACCTCTTAGTGATCGAAGATACGCTGGAGAAACCCTCCATTTCTGAAAAATTTCTGGAAACTGAGGGAGACTCTAAACAGATGATTTTTTCTGAAAATTGTGCAAGGAAATTTATAGATTGCATTAAATATGGCAGATGTACCTAACATTAATTTTAGTCATGGGCTGGTTATATAATAATTGTGTGTGTATAATAAAATATTTCTCTCAAAACATCTTTTCTTACATAGAAGCTTCTTATTTCATGCAGCTCTACTTAAAAGTTAAACCTTAAATTTATTGGAGAAGAAAGGATTAAATTTATATATTATATATAAATTTTGTATGTGCTTCCTTAGGAGCCAAATGAATTTATTTTTCTTTATATATCTGGCACGAAAAAGTTCTAGAAAAAATGATTATCGAAAATGATTTGGAGAGAAAAGATTGGACGGTGTGTTTGCCAACTTTGGTACAAAACTAAAATGACAGCTACCTGATCTAAAAATAATAATTAATTAAAGATCGAAAGATTATATATTTATTTCTTCAATAGTATCATAACTTTATCATTTGATAATTCAAAGAGATAAGCTTGTTTACTCCGGTCATAGTTTGTCTAGTGTAGTAGAACTGGTAAAAGTCCTGCATTTGAAATATTGCATTTACGCAGCTGAGACTAATTAATTTTACGTGTTATGATGTTGATAAAAGTCATGAAAACCAATCATCGCGTGTTTTTAGAGACCTTGACCCACACGACCCCTTAAACTTGCAATTTAGCAAATAAAATAGACCATTTAGGTCATTTTCCTCATGTCGTTACTAGGTACACACCGGTTGAAGAAAGAAGAAAAGATCGATGAACGATTAAGAGAGACTTTGCCTTAGAGCCCAATGAAATGCTACCGAAAATCATTTTTACACAAAAGTGATTTGAAGACCTCTTGCTTCTGCTTCCCTGCTTANAGTCGAAAAAAAAAAAGCTCGAGCCAAACCCAAACTTTTTTGGACCGACATTTTTTTGGCCCCAGCCGAGCTGAGCCTGACCAAAAAAATGAGGCTGAGTCGGCTCGAATTTTTTGGATTTTTTTTCTTAGCTGCATGTAAAAATAGTTGCCTGTGCAACCTGCCTGCCTGTTGCAGGCAGCTATATTTAAAATAATTAAAAATAAATAAGTAATTTCTTTGCCAATTAAAATTGAAAATCAGCAAGTTTTCAAGTACGAATTACGTTAAAATAAATAACTTTTTGCACTTAAAAACTAAGAAAAATACTATCTTTCCCAAAAATGTCTAGACATTAAAATTTAATTAAAACTAATTTTTACTTATTATTGAAATCAGCCAAACATGTTCATGTTGCGACTTAAATTTCCTTCCTGTGAAAGTTCACCAACTAATTACTACATCTCAACATTTATTTCATTCTAATCCACAAGCACTTTCTATTTCTCATTTCATTGCTTTTATGGGCTATGTTTGATATTATTGTGCTTTTAAGAGAATCAAAATTTTTTGTACTGTAAAAATAATCGATTGCATGAACAATCAGCTAAACGTGGTAACCTTTTATTTCAAAACTATTGTAGGTTTTAAATCAACATTTTAGCGTTTGGTAAATAAAAGTGATTTATCGATGTTCCAATATAAAATTATTAAGCTGAATATTGATTATAATTGTTAATGTGTGTGTATATATATAGACACACAATGTACATGTTAATTAGTCTCACATTGGTTAGAAAGGGAAACATTCCTCTCAAGTTAAACTATAAATATGATGTTTCTCTTGTAAACAAATTACACTATTCAATACAATTCTCTTATCTTTATATTTTCTTATTTTCTCTTTTAAATTTAACTTGGTATCGTAACTACTATTCTTAGTGATTTTCGATATATCAAGAATTGAGTATGCTCTGTGATTGCCACTATTAGTGGATCCTTCACATCAGAAAAACTTCTTATATATCCTCGTCATACTTGGAAATTCTACTTGGTAGCAGAGCTACTATTTTTAGTGGTTTTCGATATATCAAGAGGTGAGTATGCTCTGTGATTGCCACTATTAGTGGATCCTTCACATCATAATTTTTTTTGTATATCCTTTTCATACATGTTGGGGGTCATCACTAGAGTTGAAGTCTTATTTTCTATCGACGTCATCCCAGCCACCACTCGATCAGTCATTTCCTGACCAATTCAGTTTGATTCCTGTTTTTTTGTCCCCTTCTAGTTTTGTGCACATTATGGAGCATCTTGAGACCTCACAATCCATTGTCATGGAAGGACTCAACTACACTATATGGGCACAGACTATGTCAAACTTTTTTAAGGGTAGAAAGCTCTGGTGCTGTCATTGGTGATATAATCGAATCAGAGAAAATCGCTAGAGAAGACAACACAAAATACATAGACCATCTCGAAAAGTGGGATAGCAAAAACCACTAAATTATCACTTAGATTCGCAACACGTGCGTACGCTACATCAGTCTCCAGTTTGATAGATTCAAGACTGCTAAGTCACTATGAGATTTTCTATAGAAACGCTACACCACCGCAGATCTGTCTCATCAATACCAACTTCTGGGTACTCTACATCGTATGCAACAACAACCTAAGCAATCCATCAATAGTTTCTTATTTGAGATGCACTATGTTTGGGTTGCTTCCTCAGAACCAGAGTTTACAGATGCCAAAAATGCTAAGAAATTTTCCGACTATCGAGATCAGCAACACTTTGTTCTCTTTCTCATGGCCCTAACTAANGAAGCAAGTCCTAGGTCATCTTCAGCGTGATTGTTTTCAAAACCCAACAGACACTCCCAGCAATACATGTCTCGCAGTACTCCTTCTAGATCTGCCGGCACTACTGATGAAGGTTCATCATTCACTACTTCCAGTGAGATGTTTTCTATCTCTGACATAGAGGAAATTGTCAAACAAGTTCTTGCTCATTCTGTTAATCTACCCTCTATTGCTATGTTAGTCAATCAGGTAATTCATCTTGGTTTTTTTGACTCTGCATGCTATAATCACATGATACATGACCTTACTATATTTGCCACCAAACGGCTTGCTAGTCATACTCCGACTATTCAAACTGCTGCTAGTTCTTTTATGACCATAAGTCATATCGAAAAAATCTCGGCATTAAACACTTCTATTCCTGATACTTACTGTATTCCCAAACTCACTCACAACCTTATATATGTTGGTCAATTATGTAACTTCGGTCTAATCGTCCTCTTTTCTTCTTCTGGTTGTTATGTGTAGGATCCAAAGATGGAACGAATTCTTGGGATAGGCCGTAAGGTTGGACGTCTCTTTGAGCTCATCAATCTTCACCTTCCATCTCGTTTCTCCTCATCAGTTCAGACAGCAGCGTCAGTCTCATCTACCCTATCCGTCAGTTTCTAGCATTCTCATCTGAGTCATGCTTCTATTAGTCGTCTTCAATTTTTAGCATCTACTGGTCATTTAGGGCTTATTAATAAAGAACAATTTGATTGTCTTCCTTGTTAACTTGCAAAACAATCGGCATTGCCATTTCACAAAAGTGATTCCTTTTCTTCTGCACCATTTGATTTAATTCACTCTGATGTTTGAGGCCCATCTCCCATTGCTACTATGGGAGGTCTAGATATTTTGTCATTTTTGTTGATGATTACTCTCGTTACACTTGAATATTTTTTATGCATAATCGATCTGAATTACCTCAGTTGTACTTTGATTTTGCTACCATGGTCAAAAATCAACTTTCTTGCAATATCAAAGTGTTTCATGCTGACAATGCTACTAAATACACAGACTCTAGAGTTATTAACTTTCTTCGCCAACATGGCACTCTTCTTCATCGTTCATGTCCAGGCATTTCTCAACAATATGGGTGTGCTGAACACAAACACCGAGACATTCTCAATGTCGTCCGTGCTCTTCTTATATCTGATTCTTGTCCTGAACGCTTTTAGGGTGAAGCTGCTCTTACAGCTGTTTATACCAAGAACCGTGTACCTTCTCCCATCATTGGGAATCAATCACCATTTGAGCGTCTTTATGGTCACCCTCCTAACTATAACACTATTAAGGTATTCGGTTGTGCTTGTTTTATTTTTCTTCAGCCTCATGAGAGTACCAAATTGGAGTCTAAATCTCGACTATGTTGCTTCTTGGGATATGGTGTTGAACACAAAGGCTACAGACGTTGGGATCCTTATTCCAAATGTCTTCAAGTATCTCGTCATGTTGTTTTCTGGGAACATAAGATGTTCGCCTCCATATCCAAGTTTCACCCGACACATGACAACACCTCTCTCCTATTCACTGACCTCTCCACAAATCTTTTTCCTGACACGCCTGAGATAAACTCTTCTTTCGAGTCAACATCTCCACCAATACATCCTATCTCTTTCTCAGATATGCCATTATCAACTAACATGTCTACAAATCTTTCAATTGAGTTATCTACCTTACCTTCTTCTGAAAAACTTGTCTCTTCCGATGGATCCACTCCAACAGCTTCTGATCTCCCTACTCAACGAAGTGATCGGGTAAAAACTCCTTATGTTAGTCTTTGTAACTTTATTGTATTTTCTACTATTCTTTCTTACCATGAACCTCAGCCTTATCATGAAGCTAGCTCTGATCCTCTTTGGCAGAAAGCAATGAATGATGAACTACAGGCACTCGAAAACATTCACACCTGGGATCTAGTGGACCTTCCAAAAGGCAAACATACTATGGGATGGAAGTGGGTCTACAAGATCAAAACTCACTGTAATAGGTCCATTGATCGGTACAAAGCTTGCCTGGTAGCTAAATGGTTTACACAGGAGTATGAGATTGACTATGAGGAGACATTTGCCCTGGTTGCCCGCCTCACTTCAGTTCGTAGCCTAATTGTAGTTGCCGCCATCCGTCATTAGGAATTATTTCAGTTGGATGTGAAAAATACTTTTCTTAATGGTGAACTCAGCGAAGAAGTTTATATGTGCCCTCTTTCTGGTTCTCATAATCTTCCGCATCAAATCTACAAATTTCGCCGAGCTCTTTATGGTC